TGCGGCATTACTTCGGAAAGTCGATACGTTAGAAAAATAATCGATAATGGTCGTTGACATATCGATTTGTGTACTTCCGAGTGAGTGACAAATTTAAATATTCTGAGCCCTAACGAAAGTCGTTTCTACGCTTCGCGTGTGCACGACCGAAAACGAGCTCGGTGACCTCCATTTTTGATATAGATGTTTGATTAGCCGGATAAGACGCAGCTTTTGGCAAAGTTTAAAGTCTGTACATGATGCAGTTCGAGCCACCTTAAATTTTCGAAATTTTATACCCGGCCAGTCCTTTAAAAAGTCGAATCCAACTTCAAAGCAAATCTTGTCATTACCATTTTGTTTTATGGCGCCAATTCACTATTTGCTCAGGGTGCTTCACAATAAAAAGGAGTAAAAGATATTTGAACAAACTTACAAATTAAAAGTAGCCTGTATTTAAAAATAAAAGTTAATATGTCTCAGGAAAAATTAAAAGAAATGTATGTTAAAAATCTCTAACTAAGAACTCTTGCGAAAAACCAGGCTGAACCCCATCACCGTCACCATCCAGAACAGAAAGTGGAAGCCATACGCAGAGGGCAGATCATTATCAACCGCCAAGCCTTAGATTGGAAACCTCAGGAGAAACAGAAAAGAGGAAGACCAGCCGTGACATGGAAAAGAACTCTGCAAGTAGAGCTATGGACCATCAGCATGACCTGGGAGGAGGTGAAGACAGCTCAAGATCGAGAAAGATGGAGGCTCGCAGTCAAGGCCCTATGTTCTAGAGGGAACGAAGAGGAGTGTTACGCGAAATAGTATATTCCTTATTCTCGGTGCTGCTATTGCAAACTGTAAAGACTCTTCCTCCGTATGTTTTTCTGTCGAGCTAATCCATTGTGCTCCGCTGGCGCTGCTTCGCCGAGCGAAGCTTCGCAAAAAACTAGCCATGCCTCGAAATTCTGACTAGAGATCCTAAATCGAAGTTATATAGGCCACATCTCTAGACCATCTTTCGACATGCCATCTTTCGACGTGCTATGTAAACGGCCGAAAGACCTTTAAACTGTGAAACTGGCAGTTTTCCCGGTTTTTAGAGGAAGAAATGGCAAATAAATGATAATTACTGACCTCAAATGGCTGAAGAAGATTGCGTACTTTGCATGCTTCACGATTTAAGGGATGATTCAAGCGATTTTAGTGTAGTCGATCGGCTCTGAATAGTGACTTCCGATCCCGGGGGGGAAGAGTTACTCCCAGAAAAGTTGGGTGGGGGTGTGCGGTCCGCTTCCCAAAACCCTTACCCTATTTATGACCAAAATCTGCGATATTCCC